TTCTGTTCAAATCCTTCTCCCATGTTTCAGTGGGGTTCTTTGTTGCTGACTATTTGTTCCCCTGTTTGTTTATTTGCTATTGAGTACAGGAGTTCCCAATATACTTTGGATAGTAAACCCTTTATCAGATACATGGTTCAAAAATATTTTCTCCAGATTTTTTTATTATTATTTTGTTTTTGGTACTGAGGATTGAACTCAGAGTACTCTACCACTGAGCTACATCCCAAGCCCTACTGTTTAAATTTATGTTGACACAAGGTCTCACTAAGATACTCAGGCTGGCCTTCAACTTGTCATCCTCCTGCCTCAGCCTCCCAAGTAGCTGTATTATAGGCATCCATCATCATACCCAGCTATTTTCTATGATTCTATAGATTGCTTTTTCAATTGGTTGAGGTAGTTCCTTTTAATTTACTTATTTATTTATTTAGAGAAAGGGTTTTATTGTGTCCCACTGGTCTCAGAACTCCAGAAATGTTTATTTTGATGTCATGCCACTTGCTAATTTTTTGCTTTTGTTGTTTGTACTTTGATGTGAGAACAAGAAATCATTGCAATGCCCAAGGTCTTAAAGATTTTCCCTTAGCTTTTATTTAAGGAGTTTTATAATATCAGACCTTATATTTAAATCTTCAATTCATTTTGAGTTGATTTTTGTACTTGGTATACAATAAAAGTACAATTTCATTCATTCTTTGGATGTGACTATCCAATTTTCCCACCACCATTTGTTGAAGAGACTTCCCTTCTTGCATTGTGCATTTTTGGTATCTTTGTCAAAAATCAGTTTAGCAAATGTTCATGGGTGTTTTTCAAGGCTGTCTATTCTTTTCCATTGGTCTGTATTTCTGTTATTATACCAGTGTCATTTATATACATATTTTATACCAGTTTCTAATTGATACAGTTTTGTGATACTTTCAAATAATAAAAAAGTGAGATTCTATCAGCTTTGTTCTTTCTTAAGATGACATTGTCTCTTTGGGGGCCATTCATTCCTCGTAAATTTTAGGACAGATTTTAAAATTTCATAAAGCAAGCAGTGGGATTTTAATAAGGATTCTATAGAACCTCTAGGTCAGTTTTTATTTTCTTTTCTCCATCAAAATGTACATTTTTATTAATTTGCCAATCATTGATGCAAATTGTTCAGAAGAGGAAGATTGGCTTAGTCTACAGAAGATGCAATGCTGTATTGATAAATGAAATGGAGACACCACCCAGGCCACTTGCTGGACTCCACAAGATCTAAGCTTTAGTCATACTATTGCTCTAGATGCCTTCCATAATCATGCAGGAAACAGAAGGTGAGAGCGTTAAGACTTGGGCAGCATAAAACTGAGCCTCGGCAGCTCTGCTTACCTTAAGAGGTCTGCTAACATGTGACAGAAATCACAAGAAAGATGACAATGCTTTCACTTTTATGTTTTCTGAAATGTTGTGCAAATGTCCTGGGCCTGGCTTCTTCACAGTTTTGTTTGATCATCCAGTCCACAGAGTGTCCCATTGTGTGTGCAAGAAATCTTTTAAAGATTGTTTAACTGGATCAGAATTATTTTTTTAAACAGTTCTGGTTTCAGAAGTGGGTTAAAAAAAGACCCCTCTTGAGTCCTGAGTGGGGTGAGCAACCAGTCCAGCCCCCACGTCCACTCACATAATTTGCTTTCTCACCATGTGAGGACTGCATGGGTCTCTCTCAGAGCCAAGTTCAGCATTAATGACATTTTGAATATTCTCACTATGTTACCTATACTTGAATTTGTTTGCTGAAGCTTATTAGTGAGCCATTTTTTCCTGTTCAGCAAGGGGAGTAAGAATTGGTGTTTCCCTGGGTCCTGTAACAGGAGCCCTTGGCCTTAACTGTAATAGCTAACCTGGCATCTCAAGGAACCAAGGTCCATGGTGAGTTCCAGCAGGTGCAAAAGATGTTGAACTCTCTGGAAAAAAATATGATAACTTTAAGTATTTCAAACACTCTCTATTATTTCCTTAGTTATTTTAATAATCTATCCCATGAATTGTATGCTCTCAAGAGTCTTCATTGTTTTCCACCGACCACTTCAGAGATGATTCCTTGTGGATCAGACAAGAAGTAGAATATGACATAATCATGGAAATAGTATAGTTGGTGTCCTACGATGTCTACAGAATTTGAAACAGCATGGAGTGACAGAGTCATGCTGCATAGATGAAACAGTTCCCCACATTCTCAGATCAACCAGGAGAATGATAAAGAGGGAAGACTTGTTAAAGAAAACTTTAAGAAATGTCAAAATATTTCTCCATTGTTATTTGTAATCTATGCTGGAACTGCTTTGAGGAGGCTTTCTGGACACATTCAGTTCCATCTCCTGTCTTAATTTGTGAGCACAATAAACACTTGAAGTTTTATAACTTGTTCTGATTTCAATTTTGACAATATTTATATTATAGCATGCTTATTCAGAATAGTGTTATTTTGTACCTGGCTCAGAAATACTCTGGTATCAAATGCTATTTTAGATAGAATCCATACAGGTAATATTGTGTAAGTTAAAATGTCTGGACATAATAAACAGAACATATTTTGTCTAACTAGTCTTTGCTAACACATCTCACTAAACTGAATTCATTTAAACTAATCTTGGATTAGATCCCAGAAGCTGAAAAGCAATTCCTTGTACTGTGGACTTTTATTCATGAGGAGAGAAAATCTTGGGTCACTAATAAAAATGAAGAACTTGCTCTTTGAAGTAATTTAATTTACCTATCATGATTAAATAATTATGCATTCAAAAACTCATCAGTAGACCTTAACTGAACACCAAAACTTATATATTTTTCTATAGGAATTGTCAAGTTAAATCCATAATAAATCCCTTTTTTTAAGACCACCTATAGTCTGGTAGAAGAAGAATGTTTATTTCTCCCTTCATTCAATTTATCATAAATCCTGAAGACGAATTTATTATGCTTTCTTGGAATTTCTGAAAATGTCAAAATGATTTCTTCCTTTTCCTAGAAAAAAATCTTTACATCCACATAAACATACAAAGGCCATGTGCCAGGCCCAAGTTTTACTTACTAATGCAACCGAGAATAGAAGTGATAGTTAAAGCAAGGTAGTTTTTTTGTAGGACTTATTGCAAACTCAGTTTCTGTATTTCAGCTTTTTATTATATGATTTACTCTCTAATCAGTCTACTTCTAAATTCTAAAAAGCAGATGAAACAGAGAGCAACCCACTAGGCTGGAGGTCAAAGGAGGAGATGAGTTTGTGTCACCCAGCTAGATCCAAAAACTCAAGTTTGGGAAAAAAATATAAACAGTCTTTCCCACATTTTACCTCTTGCCCTCTTCACCACATAAGCAGATTCAAAAGAAACAGGAAACCACTATCATGACACACAATTTCTGGTTTCACTTAGTGAGTCAGGAGAGGAATACACAAAGTTTTGTTACTTAAAGATTCTTTAATAAAAATACAAATGAGAAACTGACTGGAGGGCTCTGAGCTGAGAACATGTTATCTTACCTACTGTTGTAAACAATGAGAGGACAAGTGTCCTGAAGGTATGAATTCAAAGTTCTCACTTAGAGCACAGGTTCTCAAAAGTTTATAAGCCTACAAATCACTTGAGGATTGGATTAACACATGGATTTCAAGGTAACAGATCTAAGGTCAATAATGTATTTCTGCACTTCTTAAAACCTCCAAAATAATGCCAGTGCCTCCAGTCCATGTATACATGTTGAGGGGGCAGGCTTACAAGAAATGAAGGCAACTTGTTATTTTCTAAATAGCAATTTAGCTGCAACTCCTAAAATATCCACAGAGAATAATGAAATTCATTATCAAAATGCAAATATATTTGAGAAAAAAGTTTGGAGTTATGGTTTATAGCCAAGTGGAGATATTGACAATGTCCTGGTGATATTTCTTCTGAGGACATTCTTCAAGGCCTGCTTTACATCTTTGTTCCGCAGACTGTAGATCAAGGGATTAAGCACTGGGTTTACAAAGGTGTAGAAGACAGCGATTATTTTGGATTCCTCAACAGTCTTGTCTGTTGGTGGTCTTACATACATGCAGAACAGGGTCCCATAAAACAAGGTGACAGCCATCATGTGGGAGCCACAGGTGGAGAATGCCTTGCGCCTGCCCTCTGCTGATTTGATCCTGAGGATGGCAGCCATGATGAAGGCATAGGACACCAGGATGATGGTGAGGGAGCTGGAGAGGTTGAAGCTAGCTGAGATGAGCATGGCATGCTCTTTGACATACGTGTCAGAGCAGGAGAGCTTGATGAGTGGTGGGTCAGCACAGTAGAAGTGATTGATGACATTGGACCTACAGAAGGTCATGTGGAAGGTCAGGATGCTCTGGAAGAGTCCATCTGAGAACCCATACACATAAGGACATGTGGCCAAGCAGATGCACACTCTCCTGGACATCTTCACACTGTAGCGCAGAGGATCACATATGGCCACATAGCGGTCATAGGCCATTGCAGCGAGCATGTAAATCTCTGTGAGGAGAAGGGCAATGAAAATGTAGCACTGTGTAAAGCATCCCACAAAGGAGATGGTCTTCTTCTCTGATAAGAAATTCTTCAGCATCTGTGGGGTTGCATTGCAGGTGTAACACAAGTCCACAAAGGCCAGGTTACTGAGGAAGAAGTACATGGGCGTGTGAAGGCGAGAGTCCAGTTGGATCAACACTACCATGCCCAGGTTCCCAGAGAGGGTGATGAGGTAAAGGGCCAGAAACAGCACAAAGAGGGCAGGCTGGAGCTCTTGGCGATCCGTGAGCCCTAGCAAAACGAATTCTGTTACGACACTGCCATTTCTGGTGGGCATCTCTGGATAGTCACTGTCTGCCTTGAAACTACCGAAAACAACAGGCATGAAGTTCCAATGAGAGTTGAAATCGCTTTTCTCCAAAGAATATGTCACACAGTGTTCTACCATCAAATTGTGGGGGTTTTTTTAAACAACTAAATTATTATCTCATTTCTTTTTTTAATTTTATCATTTCTGTCTCCGTATCTATACACATACCATTCAATGATAGATAGATAGATACATAGATAGATAGACAAATACATACATACATTCATACATAATTACATACATTTGCAGGTAAGTTACATTTCTTATTTCTCTGGTGGCACTATTTTGATTTTATTATTATTATTATTATTATTACTATTATTATTATTACTATTATTATTATTTTGTAGTTTAATTCCAAATTATCCTATAAGACCCAGATTAAAACCTACTGCTTTATGAAATATTTCTCACCTTTTCCCTCTTAATGAGTGATGCAATCCCTTTCTGTTCCTTGTTTCCAACACACCCTATAAATATGCATTTATTCTTTAGCCTATGAAATCACAATAATTGTCTACTTTCTAATCCACATACATTAGCTCTTCCATAACTGATAGAAAATCTAGTTTATTATTGGATCATGACTATGCAGCATAAGTTATGTATTGGATTATTTATTAGAAGAAAAAATTTAAAATAGTATATGACTGAGAGCATAGATCACCTGCTGCATTTGACTCCTCTCTGTATCCTAAAAGAGGTTTGGAAGAGGTCAGAAATTTAGTAGAATTTAGTGCTTATTGAAATTTTGTGTGAAAAGAAATTGCTTGCAAAATTTGTTAATCAAATAAGTTCAATGTGTTTCAGAATGTCTTCTGTGGAATATTTGGATCTTCATATCTGTTAATTATCAATAGGAATATAATGAAGGATTTGCCAGTTCCATAAACCTTTGCCAAATAAAATTTTAAAGCATCTTAAAAATTAATTTCCACACAGTATTTTGAGGATCACTATAGAAAAGAGTTCTGTCACTCTTTTTTTTTTAAAGAAATTCAGTTAGTATAGTTTGCATTTAAGATACTGAACACATCCTTTTCCCCCCTACATGCTACCATTGATCTATGTTCCTAGCTATACCGCTGCCCTCCATTTTGCTTTTAATTTCTCTTCACAGCACATCTAATCCTGAATCCTATCTTTCTTTCACTCAAGATGCTTTTTATATCTTGCCTTTTTTCTCAAGTTTCACACTTTTATAATTTGCCCAATTCTTGCAAAACTATTCGCTACTACTATAACTTTTATAAAGTTAGAACAAAGTTCTCTGTTAATCTGGAAAGAACTGAGATGTTTGATGACAAAGAATTTCTGGAACAAGAACAAGCATGTCATCCCAATGAGGTGCAGCATGGAGCACAGAGCTGTGTTACATCTTCCCCCTACACCATTGTGATCTCTTATGTGGATCATTTACATCCTGAGATATACTGTACCATGACAGGGAGGGATATCATTACTTAGAAGTAATGACAAAGTTTGGGAATAAGAATCAGTTGACAGTCTTGCATATCATGTTGCACCTACAATTTTATAGTTTTGAATTCATAAACAAGCTTCTCCATTTCTCTCTTTATAATGTAAAATAGAAGTCTATCCTGGCTTATGTGTGCAGAGTTAATGCAAAGGAGGGCAGAAAACTCTACCTGGGAGGTTCTCTCATATAGAAATGTTTTATTTTATTGAAAGTCTAATTCTTTTCTATTTATGACTTTCCCATCAAAAAAATCAACAGTGGAACACAGGGATCAGGATTAATAGAAGCTTCCTTTCAAGAGGGTCTAGCAGAAAGAGTTCTGTAATTTTTATATTCATTCATAGGACAGCAACTGGGGGTGTAGGAGAGGTTCTCCTCCTGCTCCTTCGCACCTAAGAAACTCTGAAGGAAAACTTGATGGAGAATACAAGAATAGACAAAATTGGAAGAGAAATGATCAGGATGTATGAATTTCAGACTTAACAAAAGAGAAACCAATTAATTATACATGATGGATTCATTTGCAGGAGGATGAAGTTGTTTTGTGTCACTTAATGACCAGGGAGGGATCTGAAACAGCTTTGACTAAAAAGCTCTGTGACATGTGCAGGTTCCAGAAATAAAAGTCCACATGGAGAGGAAAGGGGGAAGTACTGGAGACTAAATTAGAATAAATAAATTTATTAATTTTTAAATTATGTCAAAAGAAATTTTAATGTTATGAGTAAGTAAAAAGAACCAATAGAAAAGAAATAATAGAAAAAGAAAAAAACATTTTGTTGTGTTAATATTCACAAAAGCTTATCTGCTGGATGGCTCTGAAAAACCAATAAAAATGACCAATTTACACCTAAAATAATAATAACTCAAATGAGCTATTTCAGGGAGCTCAGTTATATACTTGTATCAGCAATAGTATTGGATGGTTCTGGAATTTATACACAACCTTGACACCGATAAATTCCCTGAATGAACTTGGATAACACTTAGCTAAAATTTTAAAAGTGGTACCTGTTCTGCCATCCTGAAGTAGGTTGATACTTTGGAATTTAGAAAGTCAAAATTTGTGAAACTAATTCCAATAAATGATTTTGGTTTTCACTCCACCAGTTAGGAATTCTAACATCACATGGGTCCCAAGTTTAACTCACCTTCCTGACCTTTACTTTTCTGCTGTAAATGTGAAACGGGTCATCAGAAGGACAAAATAGAGAATTCATTTCAAGTATTTGGAAACTAACATTTTGCTTGTAGTGACTTTTGTCCAAAATAGAATTAACACCTTCTATAACTTATCACCCCTCTTTACTTCTCTGCCTAAAGCCCTTGAGAAAAGTTGTGTCTGTTTTTTTGAGCTAAATGTCAAAGTTTATATGACATACCGATTCACAAAGCCAATGGAAACCGAACTCTCCTTGATGTCAACACCTTTAAACCACAGGCTTCAGTTAGAACCTTTAATATAATTTTCTTTTGATTAAAAATCAAGAAATTCAAAGCACAGGAACTTACTTCTGGTTTAGTATGGCAGTACTTTCTCAACCTCTGATTAAGGCAGATTATAAGACCTCTTTAAACAAAAAAATCTGGTTGTATTTATTTCAGGATGTGAGAGATGGCAATTATTTCTTAAGGCAAATCTCAGAAGAACTAAGTGATGAGTGCTAACTTTAATTCCCGCCACTAGGGTTTAACAAAGCACTGGGGATACAATTTCAAATTTGCTACTGTTTTTCCTATGAACTCCATGGGAGGCACACAAATACATTTTATCTTGTTTTATCATTTAATCTGATTTTTTCCTCTTTTTGTTTCATAAAAACACTTAACCCAATATCAACCCTCCTAAACCTTTGGATGCACAAAGCAGTATTTTTCACTCCAGGCACAATATTTCATAGCAGCTTTCTAGAACTTTCTCTTCTTGCTCTATGGGAAATAGCTTATTAGCCTTGAAGTTCCCATGTTTTCCTTTTTGAAAAAAAAGTCAGGAAAAAACTTTTTAAATTAAACACTGATTAATAATCCACCATGTACCATATGTGCTTCATGGATTCATTCATTGATGAACATTTGGATTATTTCCATATCTTAGCTATTGTGAATAATGCTGCTATCAGTGTAGAAGTGTAGATATATTACACTTGAGGATCCCTGTTTCAAATTTTTGGATATATACCTAGAAGTGGGAGAGCTAGAAAATATGGATGCTCTATTTTTAATTTTCTGAGAAACTTCCATGTTGTTTTCCATAGCTGATATTCTGTATTCCCACCAAACATTTACAAACACTATGATTTCTCCACATCCTAGCTACCACTTAATGTCTGTTATTTTTGTTGTTGTTGTTGTTCAGAGTAGCCCTTCTAAACTCATGTAAGGCAATATCTCATAATTTTGATTGACATTTCCTTGATGCCTGGAAATGTCAAATATAGTTTCCTAAATCTGTAAGACATTTGAATATATTGTTCTGAAAAAAAACTCCTGTTTAAATCCTTTGCCCATTTTTCAGTGGGGTTCTTGTTGCTGCGTATTTGTTCCCCTGTTTGTTTATTTGCTATTGAGTACAGGAGTTCCCAATATACTTTGGATAGTAACCACTTTATCAGATACATGATTCAAACATATTTTCTCTAGATTTTTTAAATTATTATTTTGTTTTCGGTACTGAGGATTGAACTCAGAGTACTCTACCACTAAGCTACATCCCAAGCCCTACTGTTTAATTTTACGTTGACACAAGGTCTCACTAAGATGCTCAGGCTGGCCTTCAATTTGTCATCCTCCTGCCTCAGCCTCCCAAGTAGCTGTATTATAGGCATCCATCACCATACCCAGCTATTTTCTCTGATTCTATAGATTGCTTTTTCAATTGGTTTAGGTAGTTTCTTTTAATTTACTTATTTATTTATTTAGAGAAAGGGTTTTATTGTGTCCCACTGGTCTCAGAACTCCAGAAATGTTTATTTTGATGTCATGCCACTTGTTAATGTTTTGCTTTTGTTGTTTGTACTTTGATGTGAGATCAAGAAATCATTGCAATGCCCAAGGTCATAAAGATTTTAATGAGGATCTATTGAACCTCTAGATCACTTTTTATTTTTTTTCTCCATCAAAATGTACATTTTTTTAATTTGCCAATCATTGATGCAAATTGTTCAGAAGAGGAAGATTGGCTTAGTCTACAGAAGATGCAATGCTGTGTTGATAAATGAAAGGGAGCCACCACCGAGGCTACTTCCTGGACTCCACAAGGTTTAAATTTAAGTCATACTATTGCTCGAGATGCCTTCCATGATCATGAAGGAAACAGAAGGTGGAGCTTTAAGACTTGGGCAGCATAAAACTGAGCCTCAGCAGCTCTGCTTACCTTGAAAGGTATGCTAACATGTGACAGAAATCACAAGAAAGATGACAATGCTTTTGTCTTTTTGATTTTGTGAAATGTTGTGCAACTGTCCTGTGCCTGGCTTCTTCACAGTTTTGTTTGATCTTCCAGTCCACAGAGTGTCCCATTGCTTGTACAAGAAATATTTTAAAGATTGTTTAACTGGATCAGAATTGGTTTTTCAACAGTTCTGGTTTCAGAAGAAAAGACCCCTCTTGAGTCCTGAGTGGGGTGAGCAACCAGTTCCAGCCCCCACGTCCACTCACATTCTTTACTTTCTCGCCATGTGGGGACTCCATGGGTCTCTCTCAGAGACAAGTTCAGCATTAATGACATTTTGAATATTCTCACTGTGTTACCTATACTTGAATTTGTTTGCTGAAGCTTATTAGTGAGCCATTTTTTCCTGTTCAGCAAGGGGAGTAAGAATTGGTGTTTCCCTGGGTCCTGTAACAGGAGCCCTTGGCCTTAACTTCTATAGCTAACCTGGCATCTCAAGGAACCAAGGTCCATGGTGAGTTCCAGCAGGTGCAAAAGATGTTGAACTCTCTGGAAAAAATGTGATAACTTTATTTTAAGTATTTCAAACACTCTCTATTATTTCCTTAGTCATTTTAATAATCTCTCCCATGAGTTGTATCCTCTCAAGAGTCTTCAGTGTTTTCCACCGACCACTTCAGAGATGATTCCTTGTGGATCAGACAAGAAGTAGAATATGACATAATCATGGAGATAGTGTAGTTTGTGACCTAGGATGTCTACAGAAGAGAAACAGCATGGAGTGACAGAGTCATGCTACATAGATGAAACAGTTCCCCACATTCACAGATCAGCCAGGAGAATGATTAAGAGGGAAGACTTGATGAAGAAAACTTTGAGAAAGGTCAAAATATTTCCTCCCTTGTTATTTGTAAACTATGCTGGAACTGCTTTGAGGAGGCTTTCTGGACACATTCAGTTCCATCTCCTGTCTTAATTTGTGAGCACAATAAACACTTGAAGTTTTCTAACTTGTTCTGATTTCAATTTTGACAATATTTATATTATAGCATGCTTATTCATAATAGTGTTATTATGTACCTGGCTCAGA